CTCCCACGAAAAATTGAAACCCAACTCTCTGCAACCCTCTCTCGGCAATCTGCAAGATCGCCATCTTTCTCTGCTCCCCGATTCCCTTGCTTCTCTTCTCAACCATCTCTCTTTCCATCAAAGCTATCCTCAAGAGACTATTAATATCTCTATTCTCTTCAGTCAAGCTCACAATACTATTCTCAAACTGCTTCTTCTCCTTCCTCCTCGTCTCCTCATACTCTAAAATCTTCCTTTCTAAATCCAAACTCATATTCTTGATTGATTCTGTTTCTGATAAAATAATTTCCAATTCATCGCCAAAATCAAAACTTTCCTTCGAATCTCCCTCCAGTTGGTGATCCCCGATCCTGCCACTGATCCTCCTTAAGATCCTCTTCTCCGAACGGACTGATTCGAGAATGTTTGAAACCCTAGCTCTGGACAGCTTGACTTCGGTCTCAAGCTCGAACCTTTCCATCAAATTCGAATCCTCACGATCCTTGATGGAAGCTTGCAACTCAATAAGCCTGATTTGGAGCTCATCTCTCTCACTGGACGAATTTTCTAGGTGTTTTGAGAGATTTCGGTTCTGAAATTGGAGATTGGTGATAACTGAATCATCACCGAGATTGTCTTGCATGATTCTTTTAGAGGGTGATTGAGAAAATTAGGGTTTCGAGGTTCCATGGTTTAGTGATGAAGAGGAATTCTCGTGAGAGGAGGAAACCCTAGCTAGCTACCAGTCAAATGAAGCTGATAGAGGAGGGAAAAGACGTTGGAGCCTCTCTGGATCGTAATCTATTCCTTTGTACAAATAGGAAGAACAGAGATTCACTGTTCATGCTACAGGAGATGCTACAGTAGCATTTGCTGTAATGTTATTACTGTAGCTAATAATTAATTTAAAATATTACTGTAACACACGGGTATACTGTAACATTTAAAAGGTACTGTAGCAGGGCGGGATACTGTAGCGCTTTCAAAAATTCAAATCATGACATATTAAAAAAAAGGGATTACTGTAGCAAAAATAAAATAAAATACCGTACTTTGCACGGACCGCAAACTAGTAATAATAATAATAATAATAATAATAATAATAATACTAAATCAGTTGTTTTGGTGGTTTTTATTATCAATTTCTTAGTTTTTATTAGTAAATAGTGGTTTTGAGGGAAAACAAGCTTGTAAATGTTTTTTCCGTTTTTTCTTTTTAGAATTAGAATATTTATGGTCAAAATGCAATCGATAAATTATGATGAGGTATTATGTATTAAGCGTTTGCAAAAAAATATTTTAGTAATTAAAACTACCCGTCCTTTTAACACATTTAAGAATATACTTTTATGTATTATGAGGAGGGATTATGTATTATGAACAAATATACTTCTTATCAACCGGTAGATATCTTAACATTTGCATTTGCCATAAAATACATGCTAGGCTAGTTTAGACTCGGCATATTTGTATTTGCTTACATACTATGTTATTCTAATGCAATCTCCCTTGGTATCCACGTTTCAAACTACTCTTTTAACTTACTATTTTCTACTTAAACACATTTAAGAATAGAGAGTACATGTGCATGCATATTTTGTGTATCTGCCAAGATGTTTATACTTTAAATAGAGAAGCCATAAAAGACCAAAGACCATATCAAAACCCTATTGCAATGATCCAATGTATGCTCTTGCCAATCAAAATATATCCTATCAAGAGAATGAGCAAGAGAATAAAACTATCAAACTATATGAAAGAAAAACAAACAAATTATAAATAAAAAACAGGACAGAAAAGCCACCATCCAAATTCCACAAAAATCTACAAGAAGAATCCATGCTTCCCCTTTTTCTCCTCCTCTCTACACACACAAATCCTAAGTATTAAAATCAGGTAACAAAAGTCATCGAATGAGATGATGCAGCATCATCAACCTCATGTCCATGAGAAGGTAAGCAGAAGAGGGCCATGTAAAAATTTACTAGTCTTTATATTCGAAGATACACATGCATGCATTTTGCTGTTCTTCTTGAAATTCCCGGGAGGTAAATAAAAGAAAGAGCTTATTGAACATAGATGTTAAAAAAACAAAACTTAAATACGTGCAACATATTGAGATATGACAATGGGCAGAAAAACAACCGTAAGCACACTATGGTTCTCACTTCTTATTGGTTCTGAACATGAGATATACGAGTAAAGTTCTAAGCTTCGATTGCTGTTCTTCCCTGTGTAGAAACCCAAACATTAATGTGAAGGGCTATAAGAATATACAAGTAGAAAACAATACACTGTATCATATTTGCAAGAACTAAAAGCATACTCGGCATGAGAACAAGAATATGCATATATAGATAGGTAGAATTCATAAGATAGGTAGAATTCAATAAGAAAGAGATGGTGTATGTGTCTCATCAGAGATATGTTTATATTCCATTTGCTTTTCTTTTTCATCTCAGGAAAAAGAACCAAGTACATGGAACTGCAGATCTTCTGGCTTAAAATTCTACCACTTCACGAAGGGAAAAGGGCAAAAAAAAAAAAGGAAGGAAGAAAAGGAAAAGAAACGTGATGTATTTTATAAAAAACAGTAAGATGACACTAAATTTAATTTAACCCAAGTTAGAGGAATTACATCTCACATTGCTATAATCCGATTAAGTAGTTGATTATCGCTGATAGTTGAAATGAACAGAAAAGCTTAAAAGCAAGTTCAAGAAACCAAAAAGAGGCTCACCTTGTCAAATAGGCAAATTTCTGGAGCAGAGAGAGAAATCCAAGCACTGAAAATGCCCTATTACTGAAAAATACAATCAATAAAGGTGTTGAATGATGCACAGCATCGAGACTAAATGTTTCAAAACTTACGAATTCAGCTAATAGGATAGGGATTTTTTGCAGTTCTCATCACTAGCACTAAATAGGATAGGTGTTGAGTTCCCATTTCAAATTCAAGCACAAATTCATTAACAAATTCATGGATCAGTCGTTTATTTTAGATAGGAACAAAGTGAGAGAAATCCTGATCCAACCCGAAAAACCTTTATCCTCTCAAAAAGTAATTAGCTCCACACAAGCCAAATACCAGCAAGAGACGAGATTCTGTTCACGTATCTCACATAACTTTGTCAATGTAATCCTCAAAAACACAAAAAAGTTACGAGTTCTTCTCTGGACTCTTCTAGGTTCTCATTCTGAACAAGCACAGAGTCTTTGTTGTGTAACATAGTTTTTCTTAGAACAAACAAACAAACAGCTCTGATTACCGACATGTGTAATGCAGCAAGAGGAATCGAAATATATCATCAAGTTACACAGCTAAGCAGTCGATACAAAGTAAAATCAACTGAATAAACACGTGACAGAATGTTTGCTTACTTTGTCGCTGTAAATTAACCAACTTAATTGTATACAGTATGACAATGATATTACGAATTTGATGAATGTAGCTGCAGATAGCACCTTGCTCCTGTTGGTTGCGGCTGATGCTTTTGTGAAAGTTGTCAATTGGGATTGGTTCTGTGATTGAGCCATTCCAGGATATCTGCCCTGACCATAGCCACATTGCTGTCGGTCTCCCCGAAGAGGAGGGAATGCATCATCCCCTCGTAGATCTTGACGGTCTTGTCCTCGCTCTTTGCCTTCTCGTACAGATCTCTGCTCACTTCTGGGTCTGTGACAACATCAGCACTCCCATGGAGAACAAGGAAGGGGATGGTGACGTCAGAGAGCCTGGAGCTGAGATCGTCAGTGGCCCTCAGCAGCTCAAGCACAGTGCCCAGCCTGGGCTTGCCTAGGTAGCTCAAGGGATTAGCAGAGGCAATGGCCCTCTTCTCCTCCACCTTCACTGACTTCTCAACAAGGTTGGCAGTAGGGACGATAGGAAGGGTTGGCATGAACCTTCCAAGCAAACTGAGGATGCTGGGGATAGGCCACCTGGGTCTTATCCTGTCTGAAATCTTGCACATGGGAGCCGCAAGGACAGCGCCGCTGAACTCAACGCGGCGCAGGAGATGGATCAAGAGGCAGATGGCTCCGCCCATGGACTCTCCGTACAAGAAGCATTTGAGATGCTGCTGCTGCTGCTGCTGATAGTTGAGATTGATGACGGAATTGAAGTAGGCAATGCAGTGGTCGATAGCAGCATTGAGATCCGGCACGAAGGCCTTGAGCAGGCCTTGGGATCTGCCGTGGCCAGGGAGGTCCAGAGCGTAGCAGGCGTAGCCGTTCTGGGCCAGGAAGATGGGTGTGGACTGAAAGGTCCAGCTGATGTCGTTACCGTACCCATGGATCATCAACACCAGGCCGCGTTGGGGTCTACTCTCAGGTGGTAGCCAGCAACGAGTGAAGAGGGATAATGATCCTGATGTGAAAAAGGAACTCGTGGACCGTATGTTTTGCGAAGCATAATACGCTTCTTCGCTCTCTGGATCATTACCCCAAAAGTACTTAGGCTTAACTTGATGAGCTTGGCCAGATGAGGGTGACGGTCCAATCTTCTTCTCCTCTCTATCTAGGTGTTGCCTATAGAACAGATCCCGTGCTCCCATCTTCTTCTCCTCTATATCTAGGTGTTGCCTATAGAACAGATCGACTAAGGTCGTTAACAGAGTCAATCTCTAAAGAATGAAATAAGGAGGGGGAAAAAAACACTCAGTAACAGAGAATTGCATGTACAATCCATCAAAAGTATTAACAGAGTTTTGTGAATAGCATACAATTCAATAAATGGTACTACCAATTAAAATGACCAATGCAATTTACCCCCTCTGGAAAAAATCAAGCATTTTTCATATCAACAACCAATTCATACGTATATTAACACAATAGTACAACAGAATCCAGTCAGCCAAAAAGCTACTCACTTCAAAACAAAGAAGGAAAGTATCAATTTTTTCTGCATTGATCTCAATTCCTCATCCAACTTCCAAAAATGCCACAGAATTTAACATCACTGCACACTTCTCCTGGATTATATAGATTGCTGGCAATTTGCAGTCATGTATTCTCATACAAAGATACTCCATTACAACAGTTCAACAGAAACAGAATAGATATTTTTAAGGGGGAAAGAGCTCAAAATTTAAGTAAACTTTCTGGAAATAAATTTTACTCCAGCTAAAAAAAAATCAATCACATAATGCGATATATGGATGTGCCTAAAAATCTTTCGAAATAATCAGCGAAATCTGCGAATTTTCTCCAAAAAAGAAAAGATTGGAACTTGGTGAGCATTACAAAGACAAGGTAGTACAAAAGAGCTATGCAGAAATGTATGATTTACATGCCCACCCCTGGAAAGATCAACCCACATAAAGATTACAATAGAAGTCTTGTTACCAAATTAAAGGAATACCGGATATACTATTATGCATCTGTCTTGTGAGTTTCAGAGAGAAGGTAGGGATCCTGTCTTTCTGGCAGATTTGTTTCTGATCTACCTTTTACCCATTTTTTGGACCCATACCCAAATTTCTGATTTGTGACTTTGTAACTATCTAATCAAGACATGGCATGGCCCTATTTGAAACTTAAATAGAAATTATACCCACAAATAGGTCAGACGTGCAATCCAATTTTAGGCTCAAATCTATGAAATTTAAATATGGTTGAAACTAGACCAACCTAATCAACCTGTATCCCATTTCAGACCATTAACGTGTATCCTATCCCTCTATAACTTGTTATCTGATTTCAGTGCAGAGGAACAGAAAATATCAAAGAAAGCTTCGTTAATAACCAAAATTTGATAGTGTTCATTTCTTCCATTTAAATTTCTCCCTTTCCACTCTAAATATATTGCTCCTCATGGTGGATAATACTTCATTACAACTTGTAAATTACAGCCTTACTTAGACATATTAGCACTAATAAAACAAAAAAAATGAGGTTTGATACTATCACAAAACAGGGTAACCAAGTGCTACAACAAAAAAATTACCTGGACTCTTCAAGCGAATGTTTTAAGTCACTAATCTCAATGCGTAGATTCTTATTTATCTTCTCAACAGTTGAAGCCTGACAAAAACCAGAAGCAAAAAATATTCAAATTGTTATTCCCAAGAATATCATGATGATGAATTTAAGGAAAACACACAAACTAGAATTGACATCATGAAAGCAACGGGTGAATAGGGAAAAAGATCTCTAGAAGCAGCACATAATTTTTTACCCTAGGTTGGATATGTACCAGAGGTCAGATGAGTACATCAGTCAAGTTGTATAAATTATTCTTTTAAAGCTAACACAACAACATTAATCTTGGATATATTTTTTACCCGTATTACTTGTGATTGATGTTAATTTTCAGGAAGGCGCATTTAAAAAATGTGTTCTTTAAGGTGGCTGGTTTTGTTTGAAGAAGTTTTGGATTTCACTATTAGGAACTGTGAGGAGATAATGATGGAAAGTTAATGTATCTACAGTAATCACCTACCCACTACAGTAATCATCAACCGCACTACAGTAATCACCCACCGCAAACCCACCCACTAAATGTTATTGTAGTACCAGTGCGCATCTACCACAAACTCAGATATATATAGCTCTTCTTGGCATTAAGTTATGATCATCACAGTGTCTCCAATTAAGAGTGAAAAGAAAGAGAGTGAGAGAGAAAAAGAGAAAAATAGAGAGTTTCTCCTTAAGAAGAGAGATTGTAATTTCTAAATTTTTTCTCATAGTGGATTTTTCTATCATTGCCCATGGTTTTTACTCCAAATTCATTTAGGGGGTTTTCCACGTAAATCTGTGTGTTCATTTCATTACTTCTGCTCTACTATTCGCTGAGACCTTACTCTATAGGACCCCGGGTTTGTCCCAACAAGTGGTATCAGAACCTGACTTAGGGTGCGTGTATCTACTTATCGTATGCTCTGTGGCTGCCATAAAAAATGAATCCTCCATATCAGAAAATAAGTTAGATTATCATTTACTCTTTGAAGACGACATGTACTATTCACGAGTATGGTAATGTTCATAAATACGGTACTATTCACAAATACAATACTATTCATGGATACGATAACTATTCATAAATACAGTTACTGTTTATAAATACAGTTACTGTTTACATGAAATAGTAAGAAATTACTATTCATGGTAGAAGCAATGATGGCGAAGTTCGAGATCGAGAAATTCAATAGGAGTAATTTCTCACTATGAAAGTTAAAGATAAAGGCTATCTTGAAAAAAATAATTACCTAGCGGTCATTGGTGCAAGGCCAGATGACATCACAAATGATAAGAAGTGGAACGAGATGGATGGGAATGCTATTATAAATCTCCATCTGACATTAGCAGATGAGATGCTATCAAGCATAGAGGAGAAGACAGCAAATGAGATCTAGGATACTCTAAAAAAGCTATATGAGGCAAAATCTCTGCACAACAAAATCTTCTTAAAAAGGAGACTTTACACTCTGAGGATGACAGAATCTACATCAATGATTGGCCATATCAACACCCTAAACACACTGTTCTCCTAACTCACAACGTTGGAGCATACAATCGGTGTGAATGAACGTACAAAACTTCTACTTCAGAGTTTACCCGACTCGTATGATCAGCCCATCATCAACCTAACAAACATCCTCACGGACAATTTAGTCTTCGACAACGTTGCAGTCGCTGTTCTGGAGGAAGAAAATCGGTGCAAGAACAAGCAAGACAGTGAGGCAAGTTCGCAACAAGCGGAGGCCTTATCGGTGACGAGAGAAATATCAACGGAACGTGGTTCCAGTGGAAGTCATACCCATGCTAGATCAAAATCAAAAAGTAAAAAGAATATCAAATGTTATAATTGTGGCAAAAGAGGGCACGTGAAATCGGAGTGTTGGCACAGTAAGAAAAGTGATGATAAAAAATCTTCAGAGCCATTAATATCTCTAGGATGCGTTGTCAGTAGGGGTGCATTCGATCCGGATACAGCTCGGATATGATGCGTACCATATACATATCCGCTTACTCATGTATCCGGATATGATGCGTACCATATACATATCCGCTTACTCATCTCAGATACGGATACGGATATGGATATATCTCGGTAAGAAAAATTTATATTTATATCCGTTAAAATCGGATATGGTTACGGATATATACATACGGATATATAAGCGGATATGCATGCAGATACAAAACGAATATGAGAAAGCTAGATAGTATTGAGAAAAACATAGTTCATGTGATACAAAAAAGTTCGTTAATATGTTCATTATAACTGAAAAGTTAAGATTAGACATCTTGATCATCAAAATTAACCACAAATCCATAATCTAAGAATCGAAACTATCGTAAGAATATGACTAATATGTATTCAGATATTTCGGATACGGATACGAATATTTCACTATAAAACTTTATCTGTAACCATATCCCATCGGTTATAAATTTGAGTAACCATATCCATATCCTAACGGATACGGTTATGGATATTTCCTCAAATACGGAAACGGTTTAGCACCCCTAGTTGTCAGCACGTCAGATGATGATGAAATTTTATATAATGGAGTAACCACTGTTGATTAAAGCAGAAAGAGGTTTGCTGATGTTTGACTTTTAGATTCAGCAGCCTCCTGGCACATGACCTCCCGGAGACAATGGTTTCACAAATATGAACTTATCTTAGGAGGATCTGTATTCATGGGCAATGATCACGCCTTGGAGATTTCTGATATTGGTACTATCAAAATTAAAATGTTTGATGGTACAATACGCAATATTCAAGATGTACGACATGTGAAAGGCTTGAAGAAGAATCTGTTATCTTTAGGATAATTGGATGAGCTCCGGTGCAAGACCCATATAGAAAACGGGATCATGAAGATTGTTAGAGGGACGCTTGTTGTGATAAAAAGAGAAAAAATAGCTGCAAATCTATACATGCTCAAGGGAGAAACCCTGCAGGAAGCTGTTTCATGTGTGGCATCAACTAGCCATGGAGAAGAACAAACCATAATGTGACATCGCAAACTAGACCACATATCAGAACAATGCTTGAAGAGTCTCTCCGATCAGAAACTGCTTTCTAGACTTAATTCGGTAGCTCTTCCATTTTGCGAGCATTGTGTTACAATTAAGCAGTATCGGCTGAAGTTCAACACATCGAGTTCTAGAAGCAAGGCTATTCTAAAACTAGTTCATTCTGATGTATGGCAAACACCAGTTACATCCATGGGAGGAGCAAAGTACTTTGCGTTCTTTATTAATGATTACTCCAGGAGATGTTTGTAGACACTAAAAAATACCAAGAAATAAATGACGAGGGTAATTATAATGACCAATCTCGTCTCAAAATAACAGTTTGTCGTTGGAAACAAGGTCCGAATTTATCAATGAAGACGAAGCTCGTTAAGGCTCGTCATGCAATTGGATTCAACCATCAAGGACGAAGCTCATCATATGGCGAAGCACGTTCTGTTAGACGAACCTCGTTGCGTATCGAGGGTCATCTCATCAGAGGAATCTCGCCACGCAGCGAAGCTCGTCATACCAAATGAAGTTCAACTGTAACGGTCTTAAAAACCCAATCAGTCCACGTGGGCTAAATTCGAGGAGTCGGTTACGTCCTGACCCCACGATTTTAGTACGCCAGTTTCGTGCTAAAGGCCTATAAATAGCCTTCAGCAGCTATGAAGAGGCCAACTTTGGATCATCTGGCAACTTGGACATTCGTGCAAGGAGCACCCCAGGCAGAGCTTTTTGCATTCGAACCTCGGTTCTTGCGATCTAAAGTCAACAACAACCACCGACGGCGGCTTAAGCAGTCATCAAGAGGCCAATTCCTCCTAGAATTTAAGCGATCTTGTTATGATCATCAACGGGAAGCAAGTTCGACTCAAGCATCGAGTGAGACAACCTTTCGCCACCTAAAACCCACCCAGAACCCACGTTAAATAAAGGAGAAGTCGAACAAATCTTCTCCTCTTCTGTACTCGATAAAGAACAATTGTAACGAGACTCTTACCAGGCGATAGTGTTTTTTCTCAAAACTAATACAGTTAAGGGAATCAATTATTTTCGAATCTTTTTGGAGACCCAACAATGTTGGGTGTATCCTATTAAGAAGGAAAAGGTCAATTTTTTCTTCATTGATCTCAATTCCTCATCCAACTTCCAAAAATGCCACAGAATTTAACATCACTGCTCACTTCTCCTGGATTATATAGATTGCTGGCAATTTGCAGTCATGTATTCTCATACAAAGATACTCAATTACAACAGTTCAACAGAAACAGAATAGATACTTTCAAGGGGGAAAGAGCTCAAAATTTAAGTAAAACTTTCTGGAAATAAATTTTACTCCAGTTTTAAAAAAAACCATCACCTAATCCAATATATGGATGTGCCTAAAAAAATTTCGAAACAATTAGCGAAATCTGCGAATTTTCCCCAAAAAAATAAAAAAAGATTGGAACTTGGTGAGCATTTCATCTCTAATTTTAATTTATACTCCTTTCTCAATCTGTAAGAAATCAAAATGTGACGCGCTCAGGAAGAGAAAATACATCATTGAGCAATCAGAGATTTAGAGCCTAATTTCTGTGTAATTTTGTAAGTAATTTAGGTTAAACTGAACTCCATCCAAAAGTGAAGTGATACAGTGAGCAAAATTATTTATTTAAGATTAGAATTAGAACAAAATTACCTTGAGCAGGGGCTAGGGTTCGCTCGAACGAAGTGGATGGGGAAAAAATTGAACAAGAAAAACTTTCGGAAGCTCAACTGAATATATATCAGAGCCAGGTTTCGATCCTGGGACCTGTGGGTTATGGGCCCACCACGCTTCCGCTGCGCCACTCTGATCTATGGAAAGTATTGCACAGTATAATTATATAATACTGTCTCTTTTTGTCCAACAATCTGATACTTAAAGCATGCTAAAAAACAATGAGCCGAACATATTGATCCATGTGATCAAGTCTCCGAGTCAATTGTTCAAGCAATAACAAAGAAGTAGTGGCCACTCAACAAGAGGAGATGAAGAAACAACAAATCTCTTTGTTATTAGTGTCTAAATAGGCATTAGCCTTTTCTAGCCCACGAATTTAGATCCTCTCTACTTAGGTAGTACTTTGAAAAGATTCAATTCCATCAATCCTTAACTATCCTTTGTAATTTTAACAGATGAGATGATACCACCTTGGATTTTCAATATCACATAATAGTGGTTTTCATTGCAATAGCGGCTTTCAATATAAGTAGAAATTCTATGAGGCATCCCCTTATCCGTTAAAATTAAAATGAATGTTAAAGATTAGAATAATGGGACTCTCTCCAATTGCAACCTAATGATCCAGATCCCCAACCCAAAGATTCTTCTATACGTCCTTTTCTTACAATGACATGGATTTTGTGGATGACTATGTGACTAAGTAATTATGATGCTCGTCTGAAGCTTACCACCTCAATGAGACATCTTTTCTGTTATCATCCTACTCTTCAATATTAGTTCTTCAATGTAGCTTATTTTAGAACGCAAATGGAAATTTTATCGATGAAGGAGCAATTCATTTTCAGGGTGGGTAGCAATTTTGAGGAATCTCCGATCACCTCAATATATGCCATCATATTAAGGATCGAATAAAAGTACAACAAATGTGAGCTTTTAGGCAAAAAAAATTTTTATAAGCTGCACCTATCCTTTGGGATCGGATCGGTATACATTTGCATGACAAGTAGAAATATAGTGTGATCGTGATCACGGTAAGAAGCAAATTATAAGAAGAAAATGCTCAACCTAGCAAATCTGTTGACTTTGGATGATCATTGCTTGATATTGATTAGGATGATTAATGAACAAATATACAAATAACGTCTGCAATTGAACAAGTTTACAGGTAAGCTCTAACACTGCATAGCAATTAATAATCCTCTCTCAAAATCACCAATGTCCAAAATGGTGTACAAGGTCAAGTTAACCAATATCTTCTCTTTCATGAGTTGGGACTGTTGGAACATCACAAGAAAAAACTGGACAATTGATGAACGACGTTATTCCAAATTCTCTGCAATCAACACTTACTCTGCGACCTGACATTTATTCCCGGTTAAAAATTAAATAGAACCCGATTAATTAATCGGCTACAGAAAACGAGGGGAGAGATTGAATAAATGCCAAATTAAGTAAAAAGACAGCAGCTTCACAGCAGTGTTTTGTGGGCAACGAAGGCTCTTTCAGCCCAGGAAGCTCCCTCAAAAACCTTCACTTGTCGTTGCTTGTCATGGCGTAAACTCTGTTGATCAACTTTGAACACTTGCCCACGACAACAAGCGCATTCTTTCTAGCTCCCGTGGCAAAAGTTACAGCAAAACCATTATGCTCATGTCCCTATCATTTTGTACAGGAGCTCGTCGTTCGTCTCTGGTTGAATCCTGAAAAGAATATGCAAATATGAAATCCAAAAAGGAAATGAAGAAGATAATGTAAAACAACAACAATATCAAAGCCTATTGTCTCCAATTTATGGGGTCAATTACATGAATCCTACTCATCGGTTCCATTAAGGACTATGTCCGCCCCTACGTTAAGCATATCATATCCTTTTTAGCAGCTTCCAACCAACTTCTCTTAGGCCTGACCCTAGTCCTCCTTTCTCCATCAACCATAATCTTCTCCCTTTTCCTAATTGATGCATGTATATAATGTGACATTAAAAATTATATGTTACTCTTAGACTGTTGCTACTTGCTACATTGCTAGTGCGTCCCTTAATTCTACTCAAGAAACTTTTTTTATTTTGATGAGAACATTGGTAGATTAAAAGATGCAGTAGCAACATTGTTATAGTAAAATCACAAAGGCTTAATTTTGTATTCCATGTCACACATAAGTTTGGGTGATTGTGACCCAAGGAAAAGTAAGTTGGCACAAGCTGATCCATTATGAGGTCATATATTTTGGTCTGTGCATGCTGATCACACTAATTCTCCGGTGAAATACTTCCAATAAAATAAACATCATTAAGAGTCCGAAAACAACTGTTAAACCAAAGAAAGTTGTGTGCATGGCATGAAAAAGATATCCACTGCTTGTTATTGCAAGACAAACTTGACCTCCATAGAATCCATTTGCACACAAGAAGCTCATCAGCTCAAGAAAGTAAAATGCACAGGATAAGCCAGCAATCCCTTTGGCAGCTGACAAGAAAGTGCTGGCATTATGATAGTCATTTGCTCAACATCAACCCCGTAAGCCATGGACCACAAAAACAAATAGATTGAAACACCATATTATTCCCGCAAAAAAAAAAAGAACAATCTTCATAACATGAGGCTTTGATGATAAATCCCGTCCAACAAAATGTACAGAAAAGCATGCAAGAAAACAAAGAGATCTTCTTTTCCAGTATTGGTCAAGACTAAGTCCACAAACATGGCACCCAATCCTTAGCTACCCAAATTCCACTACCTCTGGATATAATGGAAGGAACAACAATACAGTTAATACTACAGCGACTAAAATCAGAACACTATCAACTTCCACTCTACCTACTTAAACATGGGCCCAAGCCTAGCCTAGATTCCAGCACCTCTGCATGTAACTGAAGGAACAACAATCCAGTCAATATTTAAGGGATTAAAACGAGAACAATATCAAAGTCCCCAACCATCTTCAATTTAGTAAAGTTGAAAAAGGAGGTTCTTCGATACCTAGTAAGAATAAGAGAACTAAGCTAAAATAATTTACTTGATAAGCTCTCAGCGGTGCTCAGAAATACAATGTTCAGTTACATGAAGATTTAGGGGGAAAACATGGACAATGGGCTTGAAAAGTAGCGGAAGGGACATGCTACGTGAGGAATGTCCTATTCCCCTTCTGACATTTACTTCCACCTCTGAGAAGGAAACATGTTTTTCAAAAAAGTGAACAGATAGCATGCCCCTACTGCTCCATCCAAAAAAAACTTCAAAAGTTTTCCAAGCGGCGTAAAACAACCAGACTTTTTTAATAGTACTTTTCCAACTTCCATGCAACCAAACATGCACATAAGAAAAAGGGAGAAATGTCGACAAAGTATAAATAAAAGACATAACAATATCTAGATAAGATAATTTTAATGAGGATATAGACTGGTGTTTAACTATTGTGCTTTCAGATGGAAAACAGCTACATGTGAAAGAATGTCAAAGATTCAAACATAAGTTCAAAGGAACAATAATAGAGTTAAACGAAAGTTGTTATGGTAGAAAGAAATCTGGATATGGAAGAACAGACCTGCGTATCTTTGGAGAGAACCATTACCATTCACTATGTTTGGCACCAGCCTTCTTTGGTGGCTTGAAGATAACCAATCAGAATTCAATCTTCTGGCAAAGTCCTCCACTTCCCTGCATTCACCAATGTAAGATAGAATGAAGCATAACGAATTGTGAACATAATGGCAATAACTTTATGTAAATGAACTGAGCTGTAAAAAGGCAAAAGTAAGACACGCATAATGTATTTCCAGTCCTTCAAAATATGAAGGAAAACACAAAATGCTCTTCATATACAAAAAAAAGAACCACTACCAGAGTGGATAATAAGTTAAAACTACGAAAATAAATCAAGTGCTTGTCACACTATAACACGGGATATACCACCATTCAAATGTATCCCTACAAATTGTAACTTTATTCTTTTCTAGGACTTCTAGCCTTGGCTTGCTAACTGAAACTTGGAACAACATGCATTCATATAGCTATTTTTAATCATGACTCCAAGTTAACATAAACTAGGAAATGGGGACCTTTGTAGTGTTAACACAGGGTTTCACCATCTGTTGTGTTCGAAAAGAAGGTTTATGTTGCGACATAAAAGGCTGGATGCTGTATATGGATGAAAACAAAATTAAAAACATCATGCATTTTCATTATGCAGAAAAGTGCATAACCATTTCCATATGGTTTATGTACTCACATACGAAACAAAACACTGATGTTTTTTGTTTCATTCTTCTAAACTAAATCTATTTTCCAACTTAATTCAACTCAATAAACAAACCTTAAGACGCAGACATCTCTCCTCCTCTAAATTGACAGAGACAATAGCTCTTTCCATTTTCTTCTTTTCTCGTAAAGCAGCAATTTAGCATTGCAGTAAAGTGTGCAGCTCTTTTTCTTTTTCACCTTGATTATTTATTAACTTCTTAGTTTTTTTTCTCATACCTCTTTCCTCTTTCACTACTGCACAAGAAGGCTTTAATCATTTCCCATGTCATATACGGCAATTATAGAGGCACTAATTGTCATATAACTAATTGCAACACAAAAAGAGGTTAGTTAAGAAATGATCACAGATGATGACTTGGATATGTGCCACATTAGAGACAAACCCGCCAACACCATGGAGTAATGGCACACTATCCCCAATTTCCTTGTATTTATGTCTGTGTTCTTTTTTTCTTACCTTTTTTGGCCAGGGTGTTTTTTTTTTGGGTGTGTGTGTGTGTGTGGTGGGGGGGGG